CACCGTGTATTACCAGGAAAAACATGCGGCGCCGCACCGGTGCTGAGCCCACGATAGAGTCACCCAATCGGCTGTCCATACGGGCGAAGTCGGCCGCAGAGATCGGTCGGCGACCCGTCAGACGGCCGCCCATTTGTATTGAGCCAAAGGCCGGGCTGTTGTCACCGGTGTCCGGACCCGTGGACGGGATGTCTATCCCCTCCTCCTGTTATAAAAATGTTATAATAATGTAAACAAAATGTAGTGATTTAACCATGGCAACAGTTTTGTGTAAGTTTTAATAATGTTTTATAACTAATGATAAAATTTATGCTAAAATGTATAGCAACAGTGTAGTTCTACCAATAATAGATTAATCCGAAATAACCCTATTGTTTACTGCATGATAATAACTAATGTACAGTATGTGCAATAAGGAAAGTGTTGTGTATTACTGCAATTTTTTAAAACAATCAATAGATATTTTTTAAATACACTGACAATTTTACTGCCATTTAAATAATAAATATTGGGCTAAACTAATTCTAGTCAAATAAAAAGTATAAATTTACCCTGGATACTATTAAGAAATCAAAATTATATTAATACTTAACTCACATGTGTCCTAAGTACTTTTAAATGTATAGGAATATTGATTGTAATAGTTATTTTAGTGCTATTTTACCTCGTATTGTGAGTAAATGAAAAGTGTGGACAGCGGTAGCGACTGATTCTGGGCGCTCCGTAGCCTCAGGTGTCGATAGCCTTGTCGTAAGCAATTCAATGGTATGACTCGCTGTGCCGTCAAGTGATTTGTGCCCAAATCGGTAACAGAAAAGCGCAGGAATGCTAAGTCACTGAATGTTACCTAAATTAATAAATGATCAAGGTGGTTTATTATATTAAATAATCATAGTTAATAAGGGGTACAATTTATTTCTTTAAATTTGCTTTGTTATTATAAATTTATAGAATTTATTGCTTTTATACTCACTTAAAATTTAAAAGTAATTTAAAATATCAACAACTAAATTATTTACCCTGAACATAAACGTATCGTTCCAGATGGGATTCAACGAGTTACGTTGCACCATCTTGGTTCTTTGTCGACTACAGTCCACTGGTATACCAATCACCTCGACCTCCACCTGCGGGCTCCCGGTGTTTGTATTTTGGCACACGTACTGACCCGATATAATCTACACAAAACAAAACCCAAAAAATCACACCAAAGCAAAAGCATCACCATAATAAAAATACACATACAGTGATGGTCAAATTAATCGCGTGTAAACCATCAAACTCCTTGTCCCACGGGTTGAATCGGCCAAACATCATATGTTGTCTGTCGCGCATCACACCGGGTTTGGGCACCAGACCGCAGCCCCCATTTTGCTCAAACATAGCCTGATTAATATGTAACGCCGAGTCCACTGTTTGATAATTAAGCGCAACACTTTGCAGCCCAAATGCCCAGAAAATGACTGGGTTAAAATTACTGGAGTCTATGCGCATACCGGCCGGGTAGGTGCGCATAATTTGGCTCTCGGTGTGCTGAATGAGTGACAGGGGTGATTTGCGACACAACTTTTTAGCCGTATTTTCATTTACCGATGAAACCTGATAACAGGCGGCACCGGCTGCCGGCCGTTTACCACCACTTCTTGAAACAGGTATGCCATCAGTGATCGCCGCAACCGCCGGTCCTGTAGATATCATGGCTGCGGCGGCGCTGACCACACCGGAGGCAGCCATAGACGATACGCCACTACTCGCTATGGTTTGGCTGCTGGCGCTGGTGAGAGGGGTGGGGGACATCACTTCGCGCATATCAGCGCCGGTGCCCTTTGGATCGGCACAGGTGGTGGTTGTGATGGACGGCGAGCCGATGGTAGTGGAGCCGTACTGCGATGTGCCCGACACTAGCATAGCCTTGCGGTGGGTGTGACCGCCGGTGTGTATCTTCTTGACGGTGGGTGTGGGCAGTGAGCTGTTGGTGGGGCTGACGTGTGCGCCCAGAAAGCCCCGGAACTTAATGGCCTGACAGTAGATGACCAGATCGGACAGTTCGGGCGCTATCTGTGACGACGACTTGCGGACCACTTTGTTGTGATGGCCGTAATAGGCAGGTGTGGCCGCCGGTGACGGGACAGCCGGCCTGTGATGGTCTGCGTGTCCGGCGCTGTCGCCGCCCGCCTCGTGATGACTGTCCGACTCGTTCTGACTCCGGGGCCGCGAACCGGCCGGCGAACTGTTTAGGCCGTACTGACGGCTGGCCACTGATGTCCGTGCGGTCTGACCAGCGCTGGTCGGGCCAGAGGTATCGCCGCCACCGTAAGAGCTGCCGCACTCCTGACTCGACGACGACTCTGTCTTAACGGCCGGCGCTTTGCCAACACTGGCCGACACCTGTAGCTCACTGTGCGCTGTCTGGCCAGTGGTGGCGGCGGCACCGGTAACAGCAGGGATGATACTATCACCGGCAACTGTGCCGACAGCTGAAGGCATACTATCGTCGATACCCTCGTCCTCGTCCTCCTCGTCTTCGTACTCGTCGTCTTCCTCTTCGTTAAGACTACCGGTGCTGGCGGTGGAGATCAGGCTATTTGTGCGGCCACTGGCGGCGCCCACACCGGCCAACGGCCCGCCTTTGGACAGTGTGTTGGCCCGCATTTTCGGGTTGAGGGCTGGCGTAGGGAACGGCACGGCCGGTGTCGGCGCCCGGAGTTTTTTGTTTTTGATGAGTATGCGGTACCGGAGCTGATTGGGTGAGGGCAACAGTGGTTCATCCAGGTAGTCCGACTCGAACTGGAACCTGGTGACTAGTTTGTCGCCAAACGTGTGCACAAACATCTGTGCCATTTTGATTTGTTGCGGTAGTGAACAGTGGTTTTCCAGGGATAGTATCACCGGATAGGGTGAGGCCACAAATGCTTTGTCATTGATTGTTTCGATCACTTTTTTAAATGGTATTTTTGAGGTGAGTGTGTGACCATGGTAGATTACCGGGTAGCCGTCGTCCCCGTCCCAGCAGTCCAGTTCGACGCACCGGCAACCCGTTGAGAGCACCTGGGTGGATTATATATACAGTTTAGTTATAATAATGTTTAATTAATTTATAAAATAAATTGCCATGAAAGAAATCCAACCATATTATTTTAAAATAAAAATGATCCTAATATTTTCTCCCTCATAATTACTAATTTACAGTTTGTGTAACAAATCCAAGTTTGCCCATTAATGGGTTATTATCTAGATAATTATATTTACAACACTAACTATTATGTCATTAATGTTATTGAGAGCACCTTGATAGAAAATGTTAAACATTTTTAGTTTTAATAAAGGTAAAATTAATATCATATAAAACATATGATTATTTGGTACCATAATGAATTCAATACACAAATAACACTTATGTTTTTTGCGTGATAATAACTAATTTACAGTTTGCGTAACACTGTATTGTTTGCATGTATTCATGCACTTTTTTAACTAGACACTTTTTTTACTACAACATGTCTATTTCAATGTTAAATTGTTTAGAATCTAAATTTTAGACATAAATAATTATCATCAAATATATGTCAACATTGATAAAATTGGCAAACCGTTGAGAGCGCCTAGATGAATGATGTATGCAGGTTAGTTCTAATAATGTTTAATTATTAATTATAAAATTAATATATAAAATGAATCGCCGATGCTAGGATGAACCATAATAAATTAAAACAAAAATGACACTAATGTTTTTACCGTGTTAATTACTAATTTACAGTTTGTGTAACAAATTTAATTTTGCGCTATTCATCAGATTTACAACACTTACTATTATGGGTATAATTTTTAAAATTAACTAATGATCATCAAATATAAAGTATTAAGTCACCTGACAGAATAGAAAACATACTGAATTAATTGAAGAATAACTCTAATGTTACCTGCATGATAATAACAAATTTACACTCTGTGTAATAAACACTGTTTTGCGTATTTACGCACTTTTAATGTTATAGAATCTAAAGTGTAAATTTTTGACCCGGGTATTATTTAGAAAATGTATTTATTTAATTTTAATGTTTAGTGCATGATAGTAAGTTATTATTAATAACTAATTCATAGTTTGCGTTATACAGTAATGTTTATTGATGTACTATTTAAGTAATAATGGCAAAATTAATATCAGAATGAAATAAACCTCAGTAGGTACTTCTCCATAAAGAATTATAACAAATATAACCCTAATCTTTGTTGTATCTTAATAAATAATTTACAGTATTTAATAGATTAAGTATTGTGTGTTAATGCACTTTTTAATTAAAACCTTGCATTTTTAATATTATACCATTTAAAGTCTACTTTTTAAACAACATTAATTTTGATAAAATAATTAATTTTAATAGAGAGAGAGAGAGAGAGAGAGAGAGAGAGAGAG